GAAGCCAGTTGTCGAACTTTAACCACAAGGCACAAGTTCATGTAAAAGTGGTATAGGGTACTGCCATGCAAAGATATGGGTAAATATCAAGATGTTGTTGGCATCACACTCACCTGCTGGTTTTCAAATCGTGCGGGTCGTCATGCCGCCAGTTCCCAGCCGTGAACATACTGGACAATAGAATTGCCTGCTATAAAAATAAGCTTTCTTGAATCTTCCGATTCAGATCCCCCCTTGGGAGTTTATAGTGGCGGCACTAGAGGATCGGTTTTTATTTTGTAGAGAATTTTTATCGCCTTTATTGCCGGACAGCAGTTTGAGTTGACCAATCTTCCCCATGAATACTATCACGTTCATTTGAGCTATTTTGTTGATTAAATGACATACATTCGCTTGGCCTTGGGGTATTTTCATCATTTACTCCATCAGAGTCGTTTTGAGCCGACAGCAAATAAAAACTATTACACGCGTAAAAATTATGAGCCTTAACAGAATTGAACAATGTTGTGCGGCCAGCTTGTGCAGCCCACATTGTCCACAGTTGTCAACAATACTGAACAATATTGTTGAGCCTGAATCGGATGTAATAATATTGTTCAACATTGTTGACAACTGTGAACAATGTGGGCCGCACAATATTGTTCAATCCTGTTGTCATCAATATTGTAACAACCTGATCGTTTTTAGCTGTGCAGTTACCTGCACCGTAGGCGTAGCACGAGAACGAACGAACGACAGACTCGTACTCATTCGTATGATAGACGCTTTCTATTGGCTATGACAGTATGAGATAAACTCGTTATAATACTCGTACGGTTTCGTGCATATGATATAGCAAGCCATACTGATCGTAGGTAGAGTTTCAGGTTTATATGGAGTAATGCAATCCAATACAGCAATAAATCACATACATTGTCATTGTTCATTGCTGTTTCACAGCGGTAGAAACAGCAGTATATACAGTCTACCCGCGGCGCGGAACACAAGCTACAAACAAGTTAGCAAGAGATCCACTAGTGTGCATTTCAGCACTGCACGTCTATGCAAAAGCCTGTTAAAATTCCAGATTAACTTAATGCAAACCAGGCCAGGTGGAATCGTCGCGTTCCCGTTTTCCAATGTTTGAAATAAGTTCAGCTTTGTAAAGTATATTCTGCGCCAAATGGCAAATATATTAATTTCCGATTCAAAATACTATTCCATATTGTCTAAAATATTCAAGAAGACTTCGTTCTCCCCTGCATCGGCAACAACACTAAGGCGGCAAGCAAGTAGCTAACAAAGTATACATGCATGCACGGCAAATATTCGGTCAATATTTTGAAATAACTTAACGTTTTGGGGGAAGTGCACGGAAAACTCACAGTTGATAGGTATTGTTAAAACCTCTTGGCAAATAGTTCAATTTGAATTTATGCATGTCGTTACTTGAATTTATAGAAAATAAATTAACAAGCTAGCTAGCTAAATTCAGTCGAGTATTCCCAGTACTGCAGTAGGCGTCAGCTTGTATGACACAATACCACAGCATATTATACAATGATATACGAAACGTTATAGGTATATAATATATGGACAACAAAATGGAGGTCCTAAATCTCAGTTTTATCAGTTTTATGCAGCTAAATAATGTCTTCAACGCTTTCTTCGTGATATATTTGCCAGTAATTAACGCATCAATGGAAGAGTCGATCAATCCCTCCTTTCCGCGGGTTTCATATTTGGAAAGATCAGGTTTTTAACTGCAGTTGAATGATATGTTCTTCATGTCAAATGGATTAAAAATAAGTTAGTACGAGTCCGATAACAAATGCTGGTCAAAATCGCATATTTTCACCGTGGCGTTGAGAGTTGGATCTACAGTAGAAACCAATGCAAATTAATCCCCTTCGGTATAGTTACTTATTAAGTTGATGAATTTCACTTCAATAAACTACAGAGGTTTTTTTTGTGTTGCTGTTGTGTACTCAGGTGAATATGATATTTGTAATGTTACTCTGAGTGTGTATCCACACCGGGCAAGCTTGAAAAATATGCCTGGCCAGGGTGTGAATCGAACCTACGACCACTAGCCCAATGCTCTGCATGCCAACTGAGCTACGCGGTGAGGTCGGTTCGAGTATGTGATATTTCAGAACTGAATCTAGTTCCTTCGACATCAATGTAATCTAATAATCATTATTTTTTGTGTTGCTGTTGTGTACTCAGCTGAATATGATATTTGTGATGTTACTCTGAGTGTGTATCCACACTGGGAAGCTTGAAAAATATGCCTGACCAGGGTGTACCAAAAAACCCGAAAACTATTGAAATAACGTATTGTTAGAATTTAAATGCCTCAGCACTCTGCTGAACCCACACGTGCATCAAACCTTCACATAAGTAAATTTTATGCATAAAGAAACCGTTCAAGAAGCTGCTTTAAATTCCCAAAAGCAGAAAATCGTGCGCTTTACAAAGATATTTTAATTTCTTGATAAGTCAATATTTAATTTATGCACCTTGGCCTTGTCAAATATTTTACGCATCTTTGCGTTCTTAGTGCTAGGGCATTCAAATTTTAACAATACGTTATTTCAATAGTTTTGCGGTTTGTTTGGGACACCCTGTATACGCACATATTCATAATTATCATTAAGTATAGGGAATAAATATTAGCTAAGCTACGACAAGTTCGTGATTAATTGCTTTTTCTTTTGTTATGCACTGCTTTAATTAGGCGCAGAGGTGAAAATATGCTATTCTGACTATCATTTTTGTCGGACTCTTACTTGCTTATTTTTTCTCCACTTGGCATGAAAAGCATGTCATTCAATAGCTAAAAGCCTGATCTTTCCGAATATGAAAACCAATTGTTCATACGCCGAGTAATTCACGTACAATAGCGCGCTGAAGTTCGATTACCTTTTTTTTATTAAATAAACAGAATTAACGGTTCCTATTGGATAGATTTAATTGGAAATAAGTAATGTTTATGCAAAGGCGGAGCCAACTCGACAAGAGCCGAAGAGCGAAAAGTGGGCGTATTTCGTTTCTTGATTGTTGCCGGTCGGCGGTCCCTCCCCGAGGGACTGCTCGCGGCTTTTGCCTGTCATGACTCCATATTTCCCATCAACCTCGTTATGACACTATTTTCCATGCACCAATCAAATACGATTATATTTCTTGCCAACCAATCAGGAATGGATGTGTTATTTTGACATTTTTCTGGCCATATATATCAACGTTTGTTCAGCTATTTTTTGTCACACTGCTTCGTTAACGGCGCTCTGGTAGTCGTTTTAAGTTCCGAAGGCAAAGCGCACGCTTAACTTTTGAAAACCAAACATGAACCAGATGAATGCACACAAACGCCCTACATTTCTAGTCGCTCATCGCTATCGCTGTCATGGTCTTCTTGATCGCGAAACGTTTCTGGGCTTCAAGAAGACCTACGAGGAGGTGATGGAGACCATTGCGACGAAAAAGCTGGATGTTGATCAAGACGAACTGTGGAGGTGCGTATATTAAGGAGTGGCCGGCTTTGTTCTTTAACCTTACATGTAATGCCAGTTAAATGAATTGTACTCTATGATATGTTATGATATGGTTGCATTTTTATGTTTCTATAGGTATGTCCGTAGCCTTTTTGACTTTGATGACTTTGCTGACTGTGTACCGATAAACGCTGCAAACCTGTCCATAGTCTTCCATCCTGTTCAGGAGTGCATGAATGCAATGGCTAGTCAATGGAACCGCGATATTTCCATTCAAAAGAGACACGCGCCTTTCGTCTACACCATCGAGGCAGCAAGAGCGTTGATCGCTTCCCAACTGAATGCTGCGCCCGAAGATATTGCTATTTTAAGAAACGGTTCCGATCCAAACGCCGTCATCAACAACGGTCTGGATTACAAGCATGGTGACAACATTGTTTTGTTCGACCAAAACCATCCCACAAATACTGCAGATACCGCCTTCGCCATCCGAAAGTTGAGATTCCCTCACATCAATTGTCGCACAGTGAGTCTAACTGATCCTCCAAGCAAACAAACAATCATCGACGCTTTTCTTGAAAAGGTTGACAAAAACACAAGATTAGTCAGTTTCAGCGAGGTAAGCGCAAATTTCCGTTATGCCTATATGAATGGCAAAATATTTTATAATATCTTTTACTATAAACAGTGTCGCGAGTTTTTCTTTTCATTATGAGTTTGTATTTAGTTGATGATGTTCACTCACATATTACATATATATTATTGTGATTCTAATCCTATTATAGGATTGCTCATATTGGGTGGGTGGATGGTAAATTTTGTTTCTTTGAACAACTATGTTTTAACTTAAAACCCCTTTTTGATAGACCTCTAGAAAACTATTGCAGAAGTGAAATAGTATTATGCAAGGTTCATATCTTCGGTTCAGTACATGCTATATATGTAGATGAAAATACCACCATTCAATTCATGGTAAAAATATCTACTAATTCCTAACGATAGTGTCAACATTATATGACCTTTGAAAGTCAAGCGAGATCGCCGTATTATCAAATTACGTAATTGTCTGAACAAAAATATAAACTATATAGCCATACCTTTCGCCGAACGTAACTTCGGCCCCTTCGGACGTGTCTTCTTTGTAATTGTCTGCTTACTAGCTAGTATTTCAATGTCGGTGCTACTTATTTTGCTCCTGGGATTTGAAAATACATTCTAATTAACCGCGTTGATAGAAATTAGAATGACACAAAGTTATTTGTAATGCAGAAGACTAATTATCAGTTCGACTGCGAATGGGCCCTGGTTGCGTTGCATGCTTAAAACAATGCACATGTATAAATTATATTGTGTATACAACAGTATACAGGGTGTATAAAAAAAACGCAACCTCGGAATTTCCTAAGAAATCACTTTGCAATTCTTAAGCATAAAAGATTTTAGGCCCCTGGGAATTGAAATCGAATTGCTAATAGATCATATTACTATTGTTGTGCATTAAATAAATGCATAAATTTTGCTTTATGCACTCGCGTGTGCAGTAATTTTGACAGTTGTGCTATTTTAAATTCCCAGGCGCCTAAAATCTTTTGTCTTCAAAACAATGTCGATTTCTTGGGAAATTCCGAGGTTGCGTTTTTTTTATACACCCTGTAGTGTAGTATGCTTTTTGGCAGCCAAAGTACATTTAATTAACCATGCAATAGCACGCAAAGCTAGTTGGCAGTTGCCGGACTGTTGATGCCATGTCTCCGTGTCAATTACCTTATAGTCAAATCATATTCAAACAAAAAAAGTCTACAAACTAAACCCTGTCTAAATTATAGCAAAGTGAAACTGTATGGACATTGGACAACAATCGAGATGAAGTTTCTGAAACTTTATTATGAATCCTGGCCGCGCATCTAGCATTTTTAATAATCGAAATGAAATGGATTCCTTTTAATGCTTGAAATGAACGCTTTCAGACGTGCAAATACAATGTTGATTTTACTGCTAAGTGCTAAATGAAATAAGAAAAGACAAAAGAAAATAAGGCGAAGAACACAAACGCATAAATTCGCTTTCTACGCGTAATAAATTGTTTGTAATAAGCAAATTCAGTATATATAAGTGTAAGACAGCCAGAAATCAACAGACCATACAATGAATACAAAATACACCAAAAGAACTGCATCGTTACCGGCTTATATAAACTGACTAATGAGATTCCTCGTATTTATAGCATTATGCATGCAAAGCATTCTGGTCGGTTAACAGCAATGCATTCTGGTCGGCTAACAGCAATGCATTCTGGTTGGTTAACAGCAATGCATTCTGGTCGGAGAAACGGAAGTAAAATCTTACTTTCAGAGCCCAATATGAATTAGAACTGCTGACTTGCTCGCTCGCATCAGGCTCGCTCGCTGCGTCAGCAATCGGCAATAATGTGCCTGGTGTATTATTGTAACTAGGGTACCAGCAAGGTAGGGATTGCTGCGGGCATTAAGCAAATAGAACTACAGTAAAAAGCACAAATTATATCAAGCACAGTGATTACTCGCAGCGTCTAGTGAACTGTGAATGGAACTGAGAAGAAGCAATATACATTGAAATAGCAAGTGTCATGCAAGTGTCAAGAGTCATGCAAGCAAAGACCAGGGTTTAAAGGGCAATCAGAGGTTACATATATTAAAGAGGGGTTACAGTCCGTGCTGCGCATGTGCGATTCTTTTTGTTTTGGTAGACTACTTAGCTCTCGTTTCCATGGTTTCCAGTTCGATTGCGTAATATACGCGCGATACTATATTTGTTGATACAAGGAGTGGGAATACACCGTTTCGAACGATTTGTGACTTTTATGAAGTGAAATCCGATTAATAACAAATCATTGAAACAATATGAGAAGAAAGAAAGAATATTACGCCAACAAGGATGCCTTTTTAAAGTGTGTTTATTTGAAATTCAGTCAAGCGCTTCGCCATGTCGTACATATAAAGGTAAATATTTGTTTATACATTTGATTATTTCGTTCTCCTGAGTCGAGACTGGATCTCTAATTCGCTGTGAATTTGTGACAATTTTTAAGCTAGGGCAATTACATTCATTTACTGTCTGAACTTTCAACTTGTTCAAGACTGGTATAGACTATTTGAATATAGTACTTGAAATCTAATTTATCACCTCAGGCTCAGTACTAGATTCAGGCCCCGTTTACACTATACCGGATTGCTATCGGAGTGGGTCAAATTTTGTGGCTATTGAAAGGCTGTGAAGATTTTTAATCTCAGAGACCCAAATAAACATGCCAATTCTGTCAAACTAATAAGCATTTGCTACTAGCCATTGCTCCGTAACGGCAAAAGAAGATGTCGTGACCAGCGAATCCGGTATAGTGTAAACAGGGCCTCAGTCAAGGATAAAACTGATTTCATCTTTATATGGTGAGCTGTTATCAAAATGCTACTGGGATTGAATTATTGGATGATTATTGTTTTGTAATTCATAATCAGGCATCTCCAGATGAACGTTTTGGCAGCATCATATCATAGTATTTTTTACATCAGACATGATTGTACTGTATGTTGGTTTTCACATGGGACCCAGTCCTGCTGACCATACATTCAATCACTACTGCACTGGACAAAAATGTACTATGTTGAATGACATGGCATGATTGTTTGTGAACCTTCAAAAAATGCATAGTGTAATCTTTATAAAGGGTATATACCCCATGTAAATCTTTTTTTTGGAAACATTGATGTACTGTAGGTTCTCATTCATGGAAAAATTGAGGACAATTTGCACATCACCACCACCATATTCATGGCTACACCCACCAAAATCTGGACTGCTGCAACTGTAGACATTGTGTTCCCTATGCCGACAGGAAGAAAATATGTGCTCTGTTAGATCATTGTTCCAAGAAATTGTTTTGAGTCAGATGTTCTAAACATTGCCATTAGCCCTTACTTGCACTAGCAATTTTCTTGGCAATTTTCTTGGCAAATTTCTTCTCATGATACATGTAGGAACATTGATGAAAATACAATAGTAACTGTATTTTCTGTTGTGACATTTATTTGAAAAACATCATGATCACAGTCCTGAAGAAAGTTGCTAGTGTGAACAATAGTTACAATACAAATCTTGTAGAAAGTTGCTGGTGTGAACCACATCTTGGCAGTATCTGTTGCACGGCATCAATTAGCCACCCAGACAAAAGTGTTATTACTGTTATACCTAGTTGTTGTAAAAAATTCAATATATAGCATACTGCTTTATACCACACTAATGATCAGATGTTCATACTGTACTACAATATAATATAATAAAATGCAATACATGTAATACCAATTCATTGTTAAACATCTAATGAAACTCCCAAAACAAAGCAGATGTAAGGATTAGAGAATTTTTCCCCCCTGACTATGTTACATGATGGTAATGTTGTCTCCACCAAAACTATCAGTATTTATATCTCAATGTTGGCCAGAGAACTATTTTAGCCAGAATGTTAAAATTGCTATACTACACTTTTGTTCACATGGCATGAAACATGGTGCTTGAAATCAGTTATCATATATCCATACAAAAAGATAATGAAATATATAAAGTAGCTACAGGAAATAGAACTAGAAAACATTTTATAGGTGGCTATTTAAGGACATAATTTTCTGACTCTCAACCAGCACTGGATAATATTCCCAAGTCAATCAAACTATTCTCAACTCAATCAAATTATTCCAACTCATAAACAATACTTGTGCTCTTATGTAATGTGAATTGTTATTATAAGGCAATACATTCGTTCTTCCATCTTTGTTTCATCAGCATGCATCCAATCTGTATTGTTTCTTTTATATTTATTCCTCTCTTTAAATTTGTTTCTGATTGGTTAACCACTATATGGTTATTATAACTACACTCATCACCATGTTTATTCGATGTTAGTGTTGTACAATCTGTAATGTTTCCATGAACTCAAGGTAACCTATAGTACAGCATAATAGAAATTTTATTCAGTATGTTCAATCATGTCATGTAAAAAAATTCAATATATTCTGCTACCAGAAAGTTCATCTGGAGATGCCTGATTTATGAATTACAAAACAATAATCATCCAATAACTCAATCCCAGTAGCATTTTGATAACAGCTCGCCATATAAAGATGAAATCAGTTTTATGAAATCAGAATTAAGCTATAGTACTGAGCCGAGGTGAAGTACTACAAAATTAATATATACATCAATACATGTCTCTAACAAGTTGAATTATAAACTCAGAGATCCCATCTTTTCTCAGACAGTAAATGAATAAAATTGGCCTAGCTTAAAAATTGTCACAAATTTACAGCGAATTAGAGATCCAGTCTCGACTCTGGAGAACGAAATAATCAAATGTATAAAACAAATATTTACCTTTATATGACAGTATAACTTCGACATGGCGAAGCGCTTGACTGAATTTCAAATAAACACACTTTAAAGGCATCCTTGTTGGCGTAATATTCTTTCTTTCTTCTCATATTGTTTCAATGATTTGTTATTAATCGGATTTCACTTCATAAAAGTCACAAATCGTTGAAAATCTCTTCGAAACTGTGTATTCCCACTCCTTGTATCAACAAATATAGAATCGCGCGTATATTACGCAATCGA